CCAGTGTGTGTGTGTGCGCGGTGCACGCACATACAGGGGCACCTTTTTGCACGTAAATAGACTGAGAGCAATCCTTGCCAGAGCAATGTACGCAGCAGATATTATCACACCTGCCAACGCGAGACACATACATTCGCGCACGTGTCGCTCGCGTGCAATTGTGCGTATACCAATGGTGCTAAACAGCTTGTCCATGTTAAGGGGTGTGCCATCTGCACACACATCGACACACACAGACAACCCCCTTCCCCCCACCCACCCCCCACCACAGCCACATAGATACCTTTGAGCATACGCAGCACGCGCACACGGGGAGCATTAACCTGCACACAATACGCACGCACACCCACCAAAGATATCTTGTGTTGTCTTCTCGCACATGCGTACATTTCTCAGCAGTAGGTGCACAGCGTATGACAGCACCCAGTAGACGAAGAATATCGCCAGCAGTATGAAGGGGCTCGCCAGCTCAAATACGTACCTGCCCACACACACACACATTTCTGCAGATGGACGATGTGTGTATACGGACCGTCTCTCGAATGTGTTGACGCCGATGCACGAGATGCGTATAAAGGAAAAGTCCAGGAGAAAGACGTTCAGGTACCGGAAATATGCCGAGAAAGACAGCGGCCTGCACGTGTGTACACATCCCCTCTCTCTCTCTCTCTCTGTGCTTGGGTATGGGTGTCTCTCCATCGTACCATTGCACGGCATAGGAGTTGTAAGCGACGCCCAGCTGCTGTATGAAGTTGAGCGTGAGCCCCAGAGACAGAGACACGATCGAAGTCACAGTCGTACGCCTGCACACACGTACGCGTGTCTCTCTGCGTGTGCGTGTCTGTGTGTGGCTTGGTACGCGGTGAATTGCGAGTTGATGGCGACGTAGAAGGCGCCGCACAAGAGGGTGACCGCAAAGAGGAACAGCAGGGGCGTCGTATACCCTGCACCCACACACCCACACGTCTGCGTGCCGCGTGTGTATGCATTCGTACAAACCATTGGTCGTGTTGCACTCTGTGCACGGCCCTGCACACACACAAATGGCACTCATGAATGTCCATCTTGCACACATACCGGTGTTTTGGGCGTCGACGGATCCCCGTTTGCACACCCCGCATGCACGGCCCTCTCGATTGGCCGCACACGTGTCAGCCAGGCCACCTACACACACACATAGACAAAAAGAGGGAGAAAGAGGTGGCTGCAGGTACATGACTTAATAGACGGGTGTGAGGCACCCACCTGGGCAAGCACCGATTGGCTCGCATTGGTATATCTCGTAGCCATTAAAAGCCGCCTGTGTGTGTCAGTCAATTCATGGATTGATGGATGGTATGTATGTATATGATCTGTGCGGGCAGACTGGTGCGTACCACGTCTCTTTCTGAAATGGGTGACGCCCAGTAGCCCGACAAGACGAGAGGCAGCTGCACGGGCGCCGGTACACACACACAAGTGGGTGGCCGTATGTGCACGGTGCATACCTCTTTTCCCCCAGTGCAGTTGTGTCCATCCCCCTCTCGGCACGTCACACACTGCTCAGTCTCCCTGCACACACACAACACCCAACAAACCCCTGGGTGCTTGCGTTTTCAACAGGATGTCTTACCGACCGGTTGAAGTACTGCCCCTCGTCACATGTACACTCCGCCACATCAATCGCGCCATCGCGTGTGGTGGTGAGTGTGGGGGGGCAGTCAGTGCATTGAGGTGACCGGCCGACTGACGGCTGGTAAGAGCCCTGTTCGCACCGCGTGCAGAGGCCGGTGACCTCGTTGAATGAGTAACCTTTCTGCATACATACAATACGCAGAGAGAGGGAGAGAGAGGTAGGCGTGTGCAATGCGCGAGAGAGGGGGGGAGGGAGGAGGGTTACCATGCACAGGCATTGGTCGATGCTGGTGGCGTTCTCGGCTGTGGCGCGGCCTTCCCCCGGACACTGATCGCAACCCTGTCAGCGGATGCATGCACTTATACATGCACGCATACGCGTTTGTGTGTGTCCGTGTGTGTGTGTGTGTGTGTATACGCGATTGGCGGCTTCTTGTTTGTAGGACCCGCTAGGGCACGACACACAACGAGACAGATCGGGTGAGGGCGATCGACCGGGTGAGCAGACACACTGGACGCCGCCTCGACCTCCTTCTAATAACTTCTGTACAAATCTACTCACACACAGAAAGACATGCTCTTCGAAGGCAACATGCTCACAATGTGTGTGTAGATATGTACCCCTTTTCTTGGTCACATATGCAGTCTGTGGCGTCAGTGGATGCTTCGCTAAGCGTGATGGTTGACCCGTCACTCGTGCATGGCGTGCAGGTCGTGTTGCCTGGAGGGCCACACAGAGACATGCACGTGCTGATGGTCGTATGTGTTGGTCAATGTGCTTTTGGTAGTGATGGTGGTGGTGGTGGTGGGTGCTGTGCACACCAGCTTGTGTCTTGTAGAAGCCGACTGGACACGGTGCACATCTATCTTGATTCCCAGAAATGGCATACCCTTTCGCACAGACCTGCATACACACAGACGCATTTTGTATGATACATGCGCATCTCTATGTGTGTGGAATTAACTCCGTCTGTCTGTGCATCCCTCACACATTCATCTCGCTCCCGCGCCCCGGCGTTCTCGATCGTCATGTTGGTGGGACAGCGCAGACGGTCGTTGCCTTCAGGGCAGTAGAAGCCGGGCGTGCACCTGTGCATGCACATGGAAAAGAACGCCGCTTCTTTGCGGGAATGTGTGCTTGTGTGCTCAGACGTGCCTTATGCATGTGTCGTTGTTGCCGTCTTGATCGAGGAAGTATCCGCTCACACACACGCACATTGCCTCGCTCGACGCGCCAGGTGTGTGCGTCGTTCTGAAAAAACACACGGTGAGGGGGACAGAGGATGAACGCCCTGAGTGGGTGGATGGCTACCTGAATGCGCCACATGAGCCACAGGCGCTGTCGCTCACAGAGGACTTGTACAGACTCTGCAGGCGCGTACATTTGTGTGTTGAGGTGCATGTCTGGGTGTGCGACGTACCTTCGGGCACATTTCGCATCGGTCGTCCGTCAGCAGCTGATACCCAGCGTCACACTTGCACTGCATCCATGTCGAGATACACACGCACCCGTAAATGGATGGATGGATGGACGCATGTATATATGTACACACATGCCGACCTCTCTCTGCGACTGTGCGCCCTCTGTTTCTGTTGAGCGGTTTGCCGCACACGGCGTGCAATTGTACAGACCTGCACGCGTATGGATGGATGTGTTCGATTACTGTGTTTGCGTGGCGGTGTGGGTACCGTCCAGGTCGCTGCTCGTCTGCAGTCGGTATCCGCCGCGAGAGCAGGGCTCACACGAAGTGCCATTGGCAGAGGCACGCATCCCTACACACACCACCGAACGCACAAATGCACTTGTGGATGTACGCCTTTGTGTGGTGCAGGGATACATACCAGCAGGGCATCCGACGAAGAGAGACACGCTCGTGTTGGTGGAGCCCTCTATATTGTAAGCGGACACAGTGTACCTGCACACACACACACACACACGGGAGGCCATCCGTGTCTCCCTGGTTGCATGCACATACGTACGTCTCCAGGGGGGCCGCTTTGCCTGGGGTGCCCTCGATGATGCCGCGATCGCTGATGCGCAGACCTATTTGTGTGCACACAGACTTGTGGAGAGATTGGAAACATGTGGATGTGTGTACCGTGTGGCAGCATTGAGTTTACAGCCCATCCCTCGAGGACGCTCTCGGTGCTGGCCAGGGTGGGCATGGCCATGAAGGGCGCGTTCAGGGGGATGTACTGCGACGGCTGCGGTATGCAAACAATGCACCGTTCGCCTCTGTGTGTGTGTATGGGTTGTTACTGTGTGCGTGTGGGTGGGTGTGTACTTGAATGGATGGGTAGAATAGGTTTGCAGGGGCGCCAACGACGCTGAAGACACGACCCACCTGCCAATACACACACAGAGGGGGACATCCACAGACATAAAAACGGCACATATCCATGCATGAAGGCCTGCGTGGATGGCTGCACACCTCTGATTGATGCGGCTTGCCAGAAGAGGGATTGACAGACCTGCAGCCAACCAATCAACCCACCCATCCACATGACCAGCCGGGTGGATCATATGAATAGGCACACCAGCACACGTGGAACTCCCCCTGCTGCGCTATCTTGACACCCTCAAACGCCAGAAATGTGCCGCCACCTAAAGACACACAAAGACACACACAAACACACACAATTACGCATACGCGAATACATATGTGTAAGGCCTTGTGTGCACACACCGACCGATAGCTCGTGTGGGCGCCTGCACGATGGCCGGGTCGTTGTGTGTGGGCATGGCCGAGCAGGGGGTGGATGCGTTGACGATCACCACACCAGAGGACGGCTGCAAACCCCACCCCCCGATTGTCAGAGTGAACTCCTGCACACACACACACACACACACATACAGAGTGAGAGAGAGAGACATGTGTGTATATTTATATGGCCTTGCCTGTCCGATTCTAGCACTGAATCGGTGCGTGTCCTCTGGCCCGCTCACAATGAGACTCCCAACCTGCACACACGATTTTGCGCAAACGTGTCACGTATACAAATAAATACACACATACATACCGTCTGTGTGAATTGTTCTGGCTGATCGCAGCTAAGGTAGCCGGCACACATGCAGATGCGATGCACGCCTGCACGTGTGGCCACACCCAGGTCGAACGCCACTCGTGTGCGGGAAGGCGTGAGTGATGATGGGTCGGCTCTTGCTGGGTTGGTGGCGATGTCAGACACAGAAGAGGCTGCCGGATCCCCACAACCTGCTCCCATGAATGTGCAGACACAAATGGAGGCATATTCGCGTACACACACATACAGATGCGCACGCACCTGCAAGTGTGTCGATGATGCGGATCGCGTCATTGGCAGTGAGCTCCACCCCGGTCGCACTGAGAGTGCAGTTGTAGGCGCGGACACACTCCTGCGCCGCCATCTCTACCCACAGATACACAGACACACATATCTAGATGAACAGATCGAAGATCCGTCACATGCAAACCATCGACGCCCACAACGCGCAGAGAGCCTGTCGGCATGCTGCTCTGGCCTGCAAACAGGTATGGATCCACACAACCTTTTCTTTGCTCGTGTGCATTAGTTACATTGGTCTTGGTCATCGACTCTGCTGACGCACGCGCATAGCTGAAAGACACCTCGGGTGCTGGGCGACCCTGCACACACACAGACACACACACACACACACACACAGACATACACACACACGTCTACATGTATGTATGTGCGCCTGTGGCAGAGATATGCGTATCCACCGGCACCGACCGAGATCGTAAGTAACACGCGTTTTGCCGCCCTGATTGACGTAGCCGAGCGGCAGATGTGACGACACAGAGGCCCCCTGCCCGCACACGGAGCCTACGAGACGGAGGAAGCTGTATGTGTGTGTATGCGCGTGTCTCTCCTACTTTCTTTTTGTCTCTCATACTGGCCGGAAGGGATGACTTGCAGTGCGTCAGGTGGTCGATCGCTCTGCTGTGTCATCTGCAGATACTCGTCGTAGCCATACCGCCAGAACGACACACTGCAGGGCACATTCCTGCACAACAAATTAGACACACACACACACACACACACACACAGTGGGTTTGTATGTGTGTTTGCGTGTATGTGGCAGACGTGTACCGAGTGCAGTTGAATGGTGCCGTCTGCTGTTGTCCTTCTTGGTCTGTGAGGGCGTATGCGTGGCAAACCACTCGCAGAAACACCTCTTGGCTGCCGTCCACCGACACATACGCGAGAGACGGCGGCACGGCAGTGGGGAAGGCCGCTGACGCGATGAAGACACTCGTGCCGTCATCAATCTGCCATCTCCATGTCGTCTCGTTCAGCACAACCCGCATGGCGCCATCCTGAAAACAGAAACAGGAGAGAGACACAGCAATGAAGATTTGTATGGATGCACTTACCTGTGTCGCAAAAAGCCCATTACTCTGACGGTAGTACAACGCCTCTAGCCGAGCGAAGTCACCATCAGTGGGTGTGGACGTCCCGAACTGCTCCTCATTCAACACATGCACCGACACCACAGGACACCCCCCCAGCACCAGCAGCCTGCCCCCGCCGATCGTGTACTCAGCAGAGAGGGAACAGCCTGTCCGGGACGCGCAGTAGCACAAACGCACCTCTCCCTCTGACACGCCAATGGCACCGAAATCGAGGCCGACGGCATCTGCTGTGAGGGAGGTGCCTCGAGCGGTTGCCAGGGGGACAGATAGAGGGGAGCCGCACTCAGCTTCTCCATCTGTGAGCATCGCTCTGTGTCCTTCATCGAGACCGATCCCGGTCAGCACCACAGAGCACTCACGTTCCTGCCCAGATAGGCATATCGCATCCACATAGAGCCGCACACCTCTTATCTGCAACTCTCCCACAATGCGTGGAGGGTCGAACAGACAACTCTCCCCGTTGTCAAAGCAGAAACACACATCGAAGATGCCAGGCTGTGAAGGCACCCCGAGGTCAAAGGCGAGGGAGTCGATCAGCGTGTTTTGTGGGTCAGGCACGGCGGAAGACGACACGTGAACCGCCTTGGCAAAGAGAGAGGGGAAGGGCGAGCACTCTGGCTGCTCAGATGAGGGCAGGGACACGGCCACGGCGTCTAGGCTGCCTGAAAGGAATGTCCCTGAGACGTCGAATCGGCAGGTCTGCCCGACGGAACACCTAAACTGGTGGTTCTCCTCTGCCAGTTTAACCACATAAAACGTCCCAAGCTCCTTTCTGTAAGCCGTGAAGGTGTCGCAGTCACCACCAGGAGCATCAGGTCCGCCTGCATAGCAGTAGCAGAGTGTGTATTCCCTGGGTGTGGCGAAGGCCTTTACATCCAGCACAACCTCGACTTGCGAGAAAGAGACGGCAGATGGAGACACGGGGTTGGCAACCAGCCCGCCGAAATAATCGAACCCGTATGTCTCATCAATACACGACTCCGCCACACGCAGATTGGTGGCCTTGATGCGGTCAGCTGAGGTGAGGTCATACCCAGACACGCGGACAAGGCAGGTTTCTCCCTGCACACATACAGGGGGGCGGGAGAAGGCCTCTGCACCGTAGAGAGTGAGGAAAGCGATAGGACCGGCGGACGTGGGTGTGCATATGGGTCGTCTGCCGGATTTGTCGCGCCATGAAGTGTCTTCTGGGGAGAGCACCAGAAATGGAGCCATACCTGCAGACACACACATGAGACATGGCCGACCAAGCTTCCATGTCTTCAGGTTGTGTTTGTGCGGCTACCTGTGGTCTCGATGGTGACGTCAGCAGACCACCCCTGCTCACAAGGGAAGGTCCCTCCGCCCTCCAGCCCGCCATACCCACCATATTGCCCTTCCCCTGTTTCCCCTCCACTCGTGAAGGAAAACTCTACTGCAAACGAGACACGTCTCTCCCCTGCCTGCCTGTCCGTGAACAGCACTTCCTGCTGTGCATCGAAAAACCGCACGGTTGTAAAACCATCATTGACGTGCACAGACGCGTGCGCATGGAAGACAGTGCGTGTGCCGAAAGATGGGGCCACGTGCAGAGGGCCGACCGAGTCGACCAGTGCGTTGAAAACCGTGCCATTCCCCCACTGCACGAAAATGGTGGCGTTGTGGCGCAGGACACCCTCACTCTCACCGCCCACACACATGACGACAGCATGGAAGCGGGCGAAGGCGATCAAAGAGGGGTGGGCAAAGGGAAAAGGCAAAGGGTAGACAAGCCCACCCCCATCAGTGCACGTGTCTGCACCCGTCTCTCCCAGAACGATCCTCTCTTCCCAGCCCATTTTCATCTCAATCGGCCCAACATGACACACAGAGGTGTCGGTGTTGGTGCACGCAAACTCGTCTCGCCACGGAAAGGCCGTAGGCAGCTCTGACCGATTGGATGGGCGGAAGACCACCAAGGGGTCCCTCCACCTCTCTCCCAACTCTGTCGCATAGCAGACGACGCCAATCTCCTCATTTGTGCTGCTCTTGCCACCATCGAACGGGATAAAAATATCCGCACCCTCGGCATCAGAGAGGGTGAGAGACACGCCTTGTTGCGTGATGGTGGATGGGGAGATTGATGGAAGGGCGGATAGCGGAAGTGAGAGGCAGGAGACGGCCATGGGTGGTCGGTCCGTGCGGATGCGGGCGGACGGGGGGAGGGCGAGAGAGGGGAGCTCGATGGTCAACACGGGGGGAAAGCCGTCTGCAGGAAGGGAAAGAGAGAGGCACAGAGCCCCCAGCATGGTGTCTGTGTGTGGTGCGTGTGTTGGTACCTTCATTTCGACAGGCGATGCTCACGTATTCCGTCCACTGCTGTGCGTCATTCCTCCAACCTACACTCGCATGCGGGCCATTCTCATCACCGATCTGCTCCACCAGACACGATCCCCCACCCCCACTGTCCTTGTCTCGGACACACCACTTGCCCTCTCCTTCGCCGAAGACCATCTCGTACTGGCCTTTGGTGTACACACGGGTGTCTGTTGTGAGTGTGTACGTGCCGTCCAGCTGTGGGTTTGAGAAGCCGTAGGTCCACAGATAGGGACAGAGCAGCGGGGAGGGACATTGCGTGCTGGAGGTGGGTGAGGGAGCTGGGCAGGCGGAAGAGCTGCAGGTACGTTTGTGCAGAGACAAAGAAACACACGTGTGTCTCTGGATGGTTTTGTGTGTGTGTCGGCTTACTTGGTCCAGAAGTTGGTGCACGCATGACACGAATCGACGAAAGACCTGAGAGAGACACACACTTACACTTGTGCATCGGTATTGGCCGCCCACCTTTCGTCGCAGCAGTCGTTGCCATCGAATGAAAACGACTTGAACAGGCACACGTCGTCACACACGCCGTCGCCAATCATATACGGATGGCACAGCACTGCACAGACACACAGATGGATGCCCATGGACGTGCGCACGTCCACGCATGCACGGACACAAACATACCAGGTCTGTTCAATCTGCAGAGCCCACAGCTCTCCTGGCAGTTGGTCAAAGCCTCTCTTGCATGGGGACATTCGTAGCACCTAGAGGGATCGGCTGCAAACCTGCATGATGTGTGCTTGGATGGACGCATAGACGCTTCCATTCATTCTGCGTTTCTGGGTACCATTCGCACGTGTGGCCAGTCGTAGCATCGACCCAGTCGTGGACATCCCCACACTCGGGCACTGATCACACCCATACACAAGGTGCATACAACGACAGGAATATGCGTTTTCTTCCTCTCTACCGAATAGGAACTCCTCGGAGTTTGACGCACGGCTGGGCAGGCCGTTTGCATCGACAACTCCCGTGCCCTCTCGTATGTGTATCGACACTCTTGTGTATGCCAGTGCCTGTCATGCCCACACACAAACAGACACAGACGGAAGATGCACACCTCCCTGTGTATGTACGTTACGTGGATCTCGATGGCATATCGCCTCCGTGAGTTGGCGAATGGCTCGATGGAGACGATACTGCCATTCTCCAAAGCCACAGACGATTCAGTGAAATTCTGCGCACCCACAAACAGCACTGTTGCGTGTGGGCAGCTGGCAGCTGGTTCACTTGCTTTGTCACGCACATAAACGGCCTCGTTGTAAGTGACGTTGATGCGTATTGGGTACTCGTCGGTGATGGACTGACCAAGGGGAGCGATCGAGGGTACTGGAGGAGTGGTGTCTGCATGGATACAAGAATAGACACATGTGTGTACGCCTCTGCGTGTGTGTGGCGCACCCACCATTCCACCAAGAGACACGTGCTGATGGGGCTGAGACAGACAGACAGACAGACAAAGATGCGTGTGTGGCGGACGTACGTGGATGGATGGATGGATGAATGGATGCACACATATCATACCTTTGATCCACAGCTTGACTTCGTTGACGTACGCCACTTCACCCGTGGCCTTCAACAACGGGCCGGGGATCGCTGCACACACCCACAGATGGATGGATGGATGGATGTGTCTGCGTGGACAGATATATGTACCTGTCAGCTCAGAATGTCCAACCACGTATGCCCTCTCGTCTGCAGAGCCCAACATCACAAGGGATCGGTTGTCGCCCATCTGCATGGATGACAGATGCGTGCATCACTTGTTTACGGGAGAATATGTGTGTGTGTGTGTGTGTGCGTGTGCGTGTGTATATACCTGCAGGCCACCAAAAACATATTCCGTGCTGCTGTCATGCTGGACACTTTGCGCGTCTTGTGCAAAGGGGGGTGAGGACTGCCGCCACGTGAGGGAATCGAACTCCTGATTACACATGACGTGTGAGTGTATGTGTCTCCGTGTATGTGTGTGTGTGCGTACTGTATTAGGCCATTCCATCAGGAATGTGTAGACGCCCGTCTGCTCGTCCCGCAAATGCTCCCAATCCACAGTGTCCATCTGCGAGAATACCCGAGGGCAGCACGTGTCGATGTCTATCTGCGCACACCCAGCCACCCGCACAGAAACAAGACACGTGGTTACGCTCACAGATGCATGTGCGTCTTTGCGTGCGCAAGTACGTATTCAGTTGGCCACAGTGAGGGCGCGATCTGATGCGCCAGCAGAAGCCACTCAGCTGCACAAACAGATAGACATGTATATGTGTGGGTATGTGTGGGTGCATTGTACGATGGGGCACGGCCGAATCAGCACAGCAGGAGATGCCATAAGCCTGAATGGGTGGCAAACACATTACAGACATCCATGGCGTGCACTTATGCACAGATGGGAACCCACCGTGCTGCTGGTGTCGATTGGCGCGTATTCTCTCTCCGCGAAGGTGTGTATGTGAGTGTGGTTGCAGTGGGTGAGCGTCCACTGCTCTGCCTGCATGCTGCACTCACACCGGTGGGCATTCCATATGTGTATGTGTAGGTATCCAAGCGTGCCTCGTGTTGACAAAGCAAGTGCTCATGAATCCGCCGTTGGTCGTCATGCTGACACGCGCGCACACACGTACGTGTGCACCACAGCCCACAGCTCCATGTATATCTGTATGTTGGGGGTACTTGAACTGCAGCTCGTCGAACGAGCACAGCCTCGCCCCCCTCTGCTGGCAGAGAGACACACCCTCCTCGTAAGTATCTGCACACACAAAGGAGTGTGTGTCTCTGTTTCTCTCTCCGCCCAATGTCGGTCGGTGCACACGTACATGTGGTGTCTGTCCGATTGGCATCGTCCGCCCGCTGCTCTAGTTCTGCACACGAGCGAAGAGACGCTGACACGAATGAGACACATACACGAAAGATGGAGGTCACAAAGGGGTGTGTGTGTGTATGTGTGTATACTGACTAATGTGGGGTGTGCCGTCAGCGCAGCACATGTGGTGGGCCGTGTCGCTCTCTGCCGATGAGCACTCCATCTGCACACCTGACCGATGATTGATCGATGGACACACACAGACACACACACGGACAATACACTTCTGCGTCTTCCGTACCGGTCCACTGTACGCGCAGATGGCCGCCATTTGTGCACTGCTCGTCCGTCCACACAAATGCGTCGGTTGGCAAACTGTATGCGCAAAGGCGTGCGTGTGGGTCTCTGTATGCGTGTAGATGGATTGAGGGGCTTGCCTGCACGCGACGGCCGTCTGAATCGCCGAGCCACGAATGACATCTGTTTTCGTAAGTACATGAACGAATGTGTGTGCATGTAGGTCGTGTGGGAACCTTCGTGAGTGCACAGTCGTGCGCCCATCTCTGTGCACATCTGCAGGGAGGCTGCGTGGGTCAGCGGCCTGCATACACCCTCACACAGGAGACGTCCATCCATCCAACCCTACCTGGTTCCCTGTGTGTGCCCTTGGTACGCACGTGTCGCATTGGTCGGTGTGTGAGCACACGTGAGCGTTGTAAAGAGAGAAAGGCCATCTCAGCTGCGCACACGAGTTGGCCGATCCTGCACACATATGATGCATCCATCCGTGTGTGTGAGACGTGTGTGTCTCATTACTTTGGATGCGATCGACCATGGAAAAGACTCTGACGGCCTTGACGCGCAGCGATCCACTGCCTTCATACCTGTAAGGGTGGGTGGACACATGTGTGCATTTCCGTGTCCGTGTGTGCACGTATACCTGATGCCGATTGTCTGTTCGTTTCTCTCTGCATCGACCGTCACGCTCACGGGTGGCGTCCTGCGTACATACACATCCACCAGATCGGTATGCACGGCTATGTGCGCGCCTTACCAGTGCCATTCTGATGTGTCTCCATCTCCGCTTGTGTGTGTGACGTAGGGAACCGATTTCATTGGCTCATCCTGTGCACACACCCAAACGCACACCGCTGTAGATGTGTGTACTTGTGTGCGCACGTATCATTGCACGGACGCGCACCTGGTACACAATCGTTGCTGGTGCCGCCAGATTGTCCACAAGGAATGAGACAGACACGCGAGAAGGGTTGCAATATGACAAAGAGAAGATCAGGTCGCTCAGGTCGCTGCACACACACAGAGAAAGAATTGAATACTTGCGTGTGTGTGGGGTGTCTGCACCTTCATATGTTTGTACGTACGTGTTTTGTGTGAGAGTGGCGACAGTCTGTCCGCTATGTGTGGCCGACTTGCTGACAGGCAGGTCACCCACACACTCCTGAGCTGCACGCATTCGGACACACGCATATGGTGGGGGGTGGGGGAAGACACACAATGAGATACGCAATGCACGTCCGCACGTACCATTGAAGAGATCCACTGTGTTGGATTCTCTGTTGCGAACACAGCCATTACAATCGTCAACAGCACTCGATATCACACCTACACACAGACACACAGAGCAAAGTGCATCTCTGGAGGCAGCAAGACATGCATGCGCAGACACAGACGTACCTTCCTGTATGCGTATTTCCACATCGCCGAGAGACAGTGCCCTCAGCGTGACACTGAAATACGTGTGCTGGCCAGAGATGTCCTGCACAATGCAGTTGTCGAGCAATGAGGCATCGAAAATGCGATAGCCATCGATTATGCGATGTGAGAAGGTGACCGACAGCTGGAATAGCGGACCTACAGAGGCAGGCCACACACGCGTCGTGTGCTTGAAGGTGGGTCGGACGATACCGATGATTGTGTTCAATGTGCTTGAAGGCTGCAGGATGGCAAGAGACACATTTGGGGGTGTGTTGTCTGCAAACACACATGCGTGCATGAACAAATGCGCTGGAATATCATCACACGAGTAAGTGCCTACCAATGCGCAGAAATGCGTCCGTCTGCAATGAGACATCCACCGCCAGTGTGGCGCCCCTGACCATGCCAGCACTGCACACATACATCCATGCATATACAATATGTACGTACGCGATGGAGTGGATACACATCTCCACTCCTCGTACATTGTCTCATGTGTGCGGCATTCGAGCGTCGCGTATGAGAAATCAAAGCAGTGGCAGCCGTCAGATGAAAGACACCTGTGCACACAAGAAGACGTCCACGTATGTGTGTGCGTCCATCTGCGTGGGACTCACACCTCTCGGCACAGAGCAGGGGGGTCGATGCTTCGGACGCAGTGGAGGTGTCTGCCTCGCCTGCATGTATAGACAATATAACCTGAGTGATCGATTGTGAATCCGCAGAAGAGACACCCACGCGCTTTGTCGGTACACTGCTCATTTTGAGAGAAGAGGTAGGGGTTGACGAAATTCAAGGCCAGAGGAGACAGACCTGCAGATACAAACACACGTGCAGGCCAGAGCGTGTGTCAGTTGTGAATGTATACCTCTCCTGATGTACACATATTGCGGCCAGAGCTCCGTCAGCACTTTGCTGTAGTATATCTGCACACAAGATACAGCTCGCGGCGTGTGTGCGTGTGGATGGATGAATGGATGGCATGCTACTCACTGCATATGGTTTGCCAAGATGGCACGTCCACTGATTTGTGACCGTCTGCGCACACATTCCTGGGTGAGCGTGTGTGCACGATGCACACATACACACACATACGCCCACCGTCCTTACAGCTAAAATGACAGAGAAGGCATAGCAGTCGGCCAAACCCTCACATCTGCACACACACCAGGCACCCCACAAAAAAGAGAGCGAATGATACACTTCGGTTCGTCTGCGTCCCCGCGCACCTCCTGGCACACTCTTCCTGTGTGCTGAATATGTACTCAACGCGGTACACACCAATGCGCGCATCGATGATGCGCCGCTCGAATGTGAGGAACGGATCTGGACAATTGCAAAGTGCGACAGCCAGTATTAATGTGAACAGGCAGGCAGTGTTGGTGTCCATGTACCTTTGCGTGTGTATGCCTGGAAGCCCACGCCGCTCATCCCAGTGACATTCTCTCGCGAGATGCGGCACGTGAAGGAGCTAAATGCACACACATACAGGGAGAGAGGCTGTTTTCTATCTATCTTCATCCGCACTCAATGACGCACTTACCTGTATGGGTACTTGAAGTCGAAACACGTACATGCTGCAATGGCCAGGCACCTGCACGCATGCACACACACATACGTACCAGCCACTTATCATGCATCTCACTCACTGTTCAGCGCATCCCTCCGCCGTCTCGATGCCGCTGTATGTCGTCAGTGTGTTGGAACAGAACCTACATGCATCGAGCAACACATGGATGGTCACACACACGTGGATGTCCATGTTGAATGGCACACCGGTTGCTCAGCGGGTCATGGAAAAACGCGAGAGGGTCAAACGACTCAGCGGCGCCTGCATGACGACAGAAGAGGAGACTCATTGCCTCCTTTCCGTGCAGAATACCTGAGATGAGGCAGCAGAGTCCCGCCACAGTCAGCAAAACGACATTATGGACCTCCATTTCGAATCTCCGGATTTTTAGATCACCTTGGACCCCGACCGCCATTTTTCCCTTCTCTCCCCTCTCTCAACCATTTCGACGATGGACGGCTCACCTTCAAGGCGTCCACACATGCACCCCCCGCCCCCGCAGAGTGCCTCAGCTTCCGCCCCTCCCTCTCGCAACAAACGCCCGAGAGAAGAAGACGAAGAACTGCCAGCTGAGCAGGAGGCAGCAAGCAGCAACAGCAGTGCTCGTGGTCCAGATGGAGGACGCCGACGCACATCCACAGACACAGCAGCGGGGGTCAGCAAGAAACAGCGAGTATGCAGCACAGAGGATGGTGCCAGTGGTGCGGCAGCTGCCGAGAGGGCTGGTGGCGGGGCAGGTCGGAGGACAGTGACGCTGGCACGCCCATGGGTGTGGAAGATGACATCGACATGCAGGTGGGGGAAAAGACAGTCATCATCTGATGAATGTGGGGACGGGACGGATGGGTTTGTGTTATGCAATCAATCAACCAGGGTGGGCATGGCGACACTGCCGTCTTGTCGGCCCTCAGTGCCGTGAAAGCCAAGCTACAGAGGCAGCTGGCGCGCATCGAGGCGCAGTTCCAGAGGCAGCCCAGAGGCAGCTGGCACGCGTCGAGGAGGCAGAGGCAAAGGTGAACGATTGATACATGCATCCATCCATACATCCACTCGTGACTCAACAACCGCCTGTCTGCGTCTGTGTGTGCGTCTGGTATCTGGGCTGCTCAGGCACAGCATTTGTTTGCAGTGAGGGACGCCCTGCCGCCGCCCCAAACAGACGCACAGCAAAACCGAGTGCAGGTGAGGAGACCAACGCGCACCCACACGGGTGCAGCAAACATATGAGTGGCCCTTATTGTCTTGTGCTGTCAGGACATCGACCGCCACCTGCGAGTGCTGCGGTCTATGGTGCGGCTACTGACTCTCCCGCAGCTCGGGCACACGACAGCCGGCCGATTGATGAAGCAGGTGGCCAGCAAGCTCGAAATGATCGAAGGCAAAATGGCCAATATCAACAGAGATGAGCAGGCGAGCAAGCAGCCAACAAAAGTATTGACACACATCGCTCGCTGGCTGAGGATCGTATGTTCCTGTCTGTCAGGTTGAATGTTCATTTTTGGAGCGTGTGCCTGAGGCCCTCTGGATGAGCGACGGGAGGCGCATCGGCATCGGCGGCTTCCTGGGCTTCATTCCCTCTATCGAGTCCATCCTTCATCTGAGCACCCACTTTCGCTCTCTCACGGAGCAGCCAGCCATGCATCCAATCGTCCAGCTCACCGACAGCCCAAAGCCACGCATCGCTGCCAGATGGACAGGTAAGAAATGGGCAACAAGCCACCAAACACACGAGCCGACACGGCATCTGTGTGGGTGGGTGGGTGCGCATCAGGTCGGCTGTCGACGTGCCAGACATTCGTTGTGGACCACTGGCCAAGTCAATCGCTCGTCCAACTGCTCGAAGGCACTGCGCCGACCGTCCAGACAATCGACCTCCGTGGCCAGGCACCCCGAAGCAGAGGCGGCGGCTTGCCAGGCACCCTCTACATGAGGAAGAAGCAGATAGCAGCAGAGAGCCTCTCACATGTAGAGGAAAGAGAAAAGGAGGTACAGAGATGGACGCACGAGGGAAGAACAACACCATCGGTGCATCTCTCTCGCTCTCTTTGTCTGTGTGTGTGTGGCCAGAAGCCGATCGTTTTCCCTAACCTGCGGAAGGTGAGCGTCCGTGGAAACTCCGGGTGGGGCAGCTATGCTGCCATGCGCAACTACCAGCTTCCCGCCCTCTCACACTTGACAGCGAGTGTCTTCAGTACGTCGGTTTCGTGGGCATGGATCAAAGGGGCCTCAGGGGGCCTCACATCGATCCACATCGTCGAAGAGGTGCGCCAGGGACACACAGATGTGACGACCAAATGACAAGTGTGTGTATGTTTGCAGGAGCAGCATGTGGCACCGATGGACCTCGATGCCGTAGCAGATTCACTTTTCGGCACCGTGACGCAATCAGGTGAGGGGTGGTAAGAGAGACCGACAGACAGGACTTGTCAATTAGGCCCAACCGACTGTTTTTCTCTTCTTCTCACGACCAGCCGCAACGCTCACGTCCCTGACTGGTCATCTCACGCCCCGGCCGGACAAGCTCAAGCGATTCGTCCGAGCACTCGACGGGAGCCGCCTGCAGAAGATTGAACTGATGCTCAGGGATGAGAACGAACTCAGTTCCATCGAGGTACAGACGAACAATACCAACAGAAAATGATGCTCTCAGGAGTACATCTGCACCATGATTGTGCCCCCATTCTTTCGGCAGATGTTGCACCGGTTTCGCACCAGCTGTCTCGCCGCCACTGCGGAGGAGACGTACTACAGCTACAGCCTCGATAGCCCCTCATCCCCGCCATGCCCCGCAACGAAGAGAAGCTCTGGCTATGCCTCCCCCTGGCAAGCCACAACATGTCCCGCTACTGTGGGCCACGTCCTGGCGATAGATCAGCAAGATGGCTTCTATGGGCGGACAGGAGGCGCTCAAAGCCATCAAGATGATTGACTTCTGCAGCGTCCAAGAGAAAGGGGACCGCCAACAACGCTGCACTGATGGGGATGAGAGGCACACAGAGAGACCCGTCCTTACGCGGACCAATGGCAATTCGGTCAGTGATGCTCCTCGCCCGATGCGCAAAGGAAGCTCATCTTGTCTGTCTGTCTGCCTGCCTGCCTGCCTGTCTATCTGTCTATCTGTCTGCCTGTCGGTCTGTCCGTCCGTCCGTCCGTCCGTCTGTCTGTCAGGTGTGTTGGCTGAGGAACTGAGAACTGTGTTGCCAGAGGTAGCGCTCGAGAGCAGTGTGGACAGGGGGGACGACAAGGTGCTGTACGTCAACCTGCCTGCCATGCTCTACAAGACCATGCACGCGACACAACACATGGCACACACGACAGAGGCACACGAGAGCGGGGCGGATGAGGCACGGCAGCCATAAGTGAGATCAGGCAGGAGCTAGCCAATCTGACAAGGGATACTCGAGAGATGAAAGCACTGGTGAGTGCCGTTGTGATCGATCGATATGAGAGGGAGGGACGGCGGCAGCAGGGGGGACGTGGGCCGCCTCTGTATGATGGTGGGATCGATATGGTCCGTGGCAGGGGACGACTAATTGCATACATGCGTCATACACATGTTGATAGAGTCCATGGCTCGGCTGGGGACATGGACCGTGGAAAGAGACATGGGTTGCATTGTATTTTCTCAGTGAGTGGCTGACGAGTCAATGCACATGCACACATGACGCGAAAGTGGTGATCACACGCTGGCTTCACCCGAGCACGGACACGCACAAATTCATCCCCGTCTCGCAAAATTCTCTGACCCCCGGTCACTTTGAGGTACGAAGCACTGTTGAATACGTCAGTCACAAAGAAATCACGTATTCAACCATAACTGTCACAACACCCATCAAATTGAGTTTCACGTCAAATTGAGGTTCACTCACTTATTCAGTGACGTGATACTGTTCCCATCATGTGACTGTCATGTAATATGATTGCAATGTGTTGTGCGTCTCTCAGTACATACGTAGGGACGGCCTCTGTGTACCTGTTGACTTGCAATTGTGCATATTTATACATGTGCACTGACCCATGGCCATTGATTCAACTCTCATCTGCCACCCGTGTCTCTCGATTGGTGTACGTATTCGATCGATCGATCAGATCGATCGTCACATTACGAAGCGACATACAGACAGATACACACAGACAGGCGACATACAAACCCTCGAGAAATCCGAAGAATGGCATTTTACGTATTGTGTGTATTTTCGCAATTTTGCCATGTATACACATCGATCGATTGATCGATCGGCACAGCACGTACAAAACAACTGAAGACCACTTGCCAAACAGCGGTGAGACGAATACGAAAAATAGCAAGAACAGCAACGTCTCTATGGTTGTGACACATCGACTGCTCCTACCTGACTATTGCTCCCTCCTCTATCCGATTTCGAGAGATCAGTGCAGCGACAGTGCACACAGAACACCACCCGCCGACCCGCTCACCCCAGGTGTTGACTCACGAGCACTGACTCACGAGTGAGGCACATGCATTTTGGCGCCTCAGCACTTGAGTCATTCGTGCACCCCCCACATACAGAAAGTAGACACAAGTCATGTCGACACGGAAAGCCCAGCGCGCCAACGTGCATACGACTAATGCAGCCGAAGAGCGCATCCATCTAAGAAAACGCGCTTATACACGCAAGTCCGAGACAAGACCGGCAGGTGACCGAAAGCAACGGCAGAAGAAGAAGCAAAGGCGCAGCAGCAGCACGAGCAATGCAAGCGAAATTCACACATGGGACAGAAAGGGCAAGCATCACATGCATATATGCAACAGATCGACAGCTTGGGTCGCTTCTTTGCCACAGAATCAGCACCAGATGGAACATCAATTAGTAGCTACCTGAAACAAACACCAGAGACACCAGAGTGTCAGACAAACAGACAGCCATGAAGAGGCACACATGGCAGATCGTTCTGTGTCGCCCTACTTGAATGACGAATGGTGAGCCTATTCGCTTTTGCCGTCTCGGCCTCCCGAGGAGGTCCCACTGTAAGAAACCAACTATCCATCCATTTATCACGCACACAACACATGCACATTCTTTCCATCGTGCTGGCTGGCTGGCTGGCTGTCTGCGTGTGATCTCATCCCTCTGGTTGGTTGCCTTACTAAGTGCGACACACGGCGCCTTCGGAACTGCCGGGCGCAGCACTCTCATCGCAGCAGCAATCAATTCCGCCGCCCTTCTTGACGCCCTTGGGACTACAGCAACAGGATTGTCCTTTCGAGCTCTTGATGAACTTCTCGTAGCCATACTGCACACAACACATTCAGCTGTGCTTCCATCGGCCCCCGTGTCTGGTGGTGCGAACCTGCATATGATCGCAGGCCTTCTTTAAGCTGTCGCACGCCACCAAGTCGTCGGACATTACACTGCAGCCCTCCGCTGTCGCATCTGAAGCCGAGACAAACACACGCACACACAGACGTGTGGCACTCTGTGTATTGATGATAGATAGGTACCCTGCAGCGTCTTGTGTGGCGAGGAGTGAGTGTTCCAAGGAGAGGAAAGCAGCCGCACGTCATATCACATCACATGCTTGCAATTCAACCAACATAACAGCATCTGTCTGGTCTTCCCGCAATCACCTTGGCCTTCCGTTTTGCGTGCGTCACGTCGCCGGCCACTCTCTCCGAGACGGGAGCCATGACGATAAGCTTTTCTTGACTGATATCAGAGCTAGGCCCAGCCTTATGTCGCGATCCGTCACCTGCACAACGCAAACAGCAAGCACACACATAGACAGTGAGTCGTTGAATAGTCGCGCGGTGTGTCGATACGTACCATCTGCTGCACGCAAGAAGGCGCTACGGTCTTCATTGGCTAGAGCGAGCAAATTCTGGAGGTCGACCAGCAGCTGCTGTAGCATCTGCCCGTCACGGGCACACAGAGCTGAGGCCGCCAAAGAGGAGCAGGCAGCAAACGAAGGGCAGACAAAATGCAACACAGGCCATTCTCAATCCACAATACAAGTACGATTCAGGGCGACAAGGGCGGGTCTCGAGTCGTTCGTTTGGTTCCAGATGCCCTCTCTCTTGTGCGTTAGCGGCCTTCCGCAACGACGTTAACGATTCTTCGCAGGATAACAATGTCAGTCCTCGCTTCTCGTGGTCAGTCCTGAATGAAAGAATGCCTGACTGGAAGAGAATCCACTGATGAATGTCTCTGTGCGCACACCTGCATATACACGCGTCGACTTGGAGTGTGTGTATATGATGAATGTCTCTGTGCTCTCACGTGCGCATGCATGTTTGAACTTGGAGTGTGTGTATATGGTAAACGTCTCTGTGCGCATACCTGCGTATACACAGGTCGACTTGGAGTGTGTGTATATGATGAATGTCTCTGTGCACACACCTGCGCATGCATGTTTGGACTCGGAGTGTGTGTATATATACGATGAATGTCTCTGTGCCCACACCTGCGTATACACGCGTCGACTTGGAGTGTGTGTATATCATGAATGTCTCTGTGCGCTCACTTGCGCATGCATGTTTAAACTTGGAGTGTGTATATGATGAATGTCTGTGTGCGCAAACCTGTGTATACACGCGTCGACTTGGAGTGTGTGTATATACAATGAATGCCTCTGTGCGCACACCTGCGCATGCATCTGCGCATGCATGTTGGAACTTGGAGTGTGTGTATATATACGATGAATGCCTCTGTGCGCACACCTGCACATGCATGTTTGGCCTTGGAGTGTATGCGTATGATGAACGTCTCTCTGCACACACCTGCGCATGCATTTGTGGACTTGGAGTGTGTGTGCGCACACCTGCGCCTGCATGTTTGGACTTGGAGTGTGTGTATATATACGATGAATGTCTCTGTGCGCCCACCTGCGTATACACACGTCGACTTGGAGTGTGTCTATATAATGAACGTCTCTCTGCGCACACCTGCGCATGCATGTTTGGACTTGGAGTGTGTGTATGTATACGATGAATGCCTCATATACACGTTTGGACTTGGAGTGTGTGTACATATACGATGAATGTCTCTGTGCGCACACCTGCGTATACACGCGTCGACTTGGAGTGTGTCTACACGTTCATTATATACACACACTCCAAGTCGACACGTGCATACGCAGGGGTGCGCACACGGACATTCATCATATACACACAGAGACATCCATCGAGTCCACGCGTACGCGTGGAGTTGGAGGGCGTGTATATGATGAGAGTTTCTGTGCGCACACGTGCACCTACACGGATGCATCGAGTTGAAGGGAGCGTGTCTGTGCGCACACCTGTGCATGCACGCAAAGACACGCAAACTGTATATGGGATCATTGTCTCTGTGCGCACACCTGCACATGCACGCGTCGACTTGCAAGGGGCGTATATGATGAATGCCTCTGCGCGTATGTTTGCGTATGAAGGCGTGGACTTGCAGACGGTGTAAATGTCTATGTGCGCACACCTGCACATGCACGAGTGCCTCGAGTAGGAGGGAGTGTCTCTCTTGGCAAGGTGTGCGCATGCACGCAAGGACCTCCAGACGGAACATGGGATGAATGTCCGCACACAAGCGCCTGCACGCGTGGACTTGAAAGAGGTATCTCTGTCCGCACACCTGCGCATGCACACGTACGCGTGAAGTTAGAGGGCGTGTATGTGGTGAATGTATCTATGCACATACCTGCACAAAAACGTATGCGTCGAGTTGAAGGGAGTGTGGGAGTCGTTGGTGATGTTGTTGGATGGCCTTTAAAAGGACCTGAACCGCGTCATTAAGAAGCCCGATGTGGAGGAGCCAGACATCACCCGCAAGAAGCTCAGTGAGGGTAAACGAGAAGAGAAACTGGCTGTCGAAGCTGGTCCAGGCACCTTGCTACGCTTCCTACTGTGACTCACGAGTATGTAAACTCATCTTCAATCCATGCTTAGCAACACTTGCAATGTCGGTGTTGTGTCCTCGATCATCATTGCAGTCGCCTGTTTGTCACGCAATAAGGTCTCTTCTCGCGCAAACGCAGCAATCATGTCGGCTACATACCTCAGAGCTCTGAGTCGTGCAACACGCACAAACAGGTAGTCTGACCGCTTTCGTGTCTTCCTGTCTCCCTTTGGTGATAGAAGTGCCGCACACCCTTGAGAGGGAGAGCATGCAAGAGATGGATGCTTGTATGAGGAATGATGTCCCTATGTGTCTTGTCATCAACGTGTCCTGCCAATGAGAGAAGTCATCTGTCGATCCCTCCGCCTTAAGAAGGATGCTGGCTGAAGCCTTGAATCAACACTGTGACTTCATTATCCCTGGCACATCACACGCATAGACGAAGAGCACACGTGATGACACGCCATTTTTGTCTACTTCTTTGCGTTTGCTTATACCAGAACGGATATTTAGAGCCTTTTGAAGAGTAGCAGCGCTTTTTGAAGAGTTATTTGCACTCTCAGTCGCGGTCCGCCGAGTGTTTTGGGAGCACAGGCCAATTGAATTTGCGGACATCTCTCTTGACGCCTATCGAGAGGCAGATCGAGCGACGATAGATGCTTAGGGAATTCACACCTCCCTACACACAAGCAGGCACACAAAAGGCAGCGGTTTCAGGAAATACCCTAAGCGGCGTGACGGCTTGATCCCATGTCTGTCCATCTCAACATGCAACATGCAACATGCGCCCCAACATGCAACACGCAGCACGCAAAGGGCAGAAGCAGCAAACAGGTGGATATGCAATGCGCTGCGAACGACGGCAACATACGAGCAGGCACGTAACGTTGCACGCACGCCATCCCAGCGTGGTATATAGCAAAAGCAAAATAATCATTACAAAAATTTACAAGCAAAAGCAAAATAACATATGGAGAAATGATAATATAGTATTACCAGAGCGTATTGATTTAGATTTGTTTATATAACTAATGGTACTAAATCAAGAAAAAGAGAAACATTAAAACATCTCTACTACCAATCGGGTTTCAATAATATAAAGAATCAAAAAGTAAAGATAAAACTATAAGTGGATCTGATGTGAAAGAATTTATTGAAAACAAAGCATTTATCAGAGAATGCAGAAAATAGAAATAAAATATAATTCATATATTCCTCCTGCTCCTCATTTTAATTATGAGGCAGATTTAGTCGATTATTCAAAATTCAGTCGATATGATGAAGGATATAAATATATCTTAAATGTTATAGACACATTTGTGAAGAAAGTTAGTAGTGCTGGACTTAAAACTAAAAGAGCAAATGAGGTATGATTCTATAAATGAATACAACAATACTAAACATTCAACTATCGAAATGAAACCTGATGAAGTTAATGATGAGAATGAAAGATTAGTATTATGGACATTAAAAGTGGAATATAAAAGGATTACAACCCTTGAAAGTTGGAAATAAAGTTAAATTCAGAATACAGAAATCAAGTTAAATTCAGAATACAGGAATCAAAATTCGATAAAGGGTATCTACCATAATTGATAGCAAAATATTATGTATGAGATTGTGTGTGACATACGTTAACTCATAGCGCAACGGCAGGCAGAGTCTGTCGGTCTCTCATGAAAATATAAATGAACCGCATCAACATCGACCAACGCTCAATCATGCGACAAACATGCCAGCACCATCCTCAGCGCCCGCCTGGCGTATCTTCTAGCGGCGCCACCCACCACGCACACACATACTCGCACTACGCGCTAACGCAACAGACAGACGAGCACCAACCCACCCCATCACCTGGTCATACCACTTCTCTGCCCACGCAGCTTTGATGCGCAGCTTCTCAACTAGGCGGCTGAAAAAACCATTAGCGTCTCTGCCTTACACACCATTCACCGTGACGCACAAGGGGGTGAAGTGGATGGACTTGTCCTTGCACACACGACTATGATGGGCCTTTTTGGCCTTGTTACTGAGGATGGAGGCGGTAGATTGCGTGCGATAAGACGGTGCGTCAGCGTTTGTCACGCATAAGTCGAACGACACGTCCTTCTGCCTCTCCCACACCCCTCTCACTGTCCGTCCGCACCCCCTTCTCCCCCTCCTCAGGCTCCACAATCACCACCTCCTTCGTGACCGCCGACTCGCCCCAAACCTTGGCAGACAGATCGCACAGCACGTCCACCACGTCGTTGTACCGCCGAATTACCAACCCACCCACCCCACGGTTGAGGGCGTGGTCGAGCGAGTATGCAGCCCCGCAGCCGTCGCAGTGGGTGGGCATCTTGGGAGGCTCATAGGCGTACCGAATGGCCATGGTCGCGATCGTCAGGCGTCAGGTCGGTGTGGTCCTCTGCGTCAGGCCGGCAAGTCACCCACCCGGCCGTCTTGGCCTTGATCGCCTGATGGACCGCCCGTCGTCTCTCTGCGGGCAGCTGCTGGAGGCCGTCCTTGAAGCGCTCCTTGGCTGCCTCATCTGTCGCCCGCCGCTACTCCTTGACCGCTTGCTGTATCTCGGTGTGGTGCTGGAAGGGGTTGAATGGAGGGCCGTCGGGTGGGTTGCCGTTTTGAATGGTGGACACCAGCAGGGAGGTGCCCTTGGTGGATGTCTCGTATACCGCCGCTACTCGCTTTGTCGAGTCCCTCACCCTCATCCCCTTATGACGCGCAGGCAGCATCGTCAGCTGGGCCTTAGTAGCGGTCACCGCATGGTTGGAGAGCTGGATGAGGTAGTGGGTGAGGGCATCTCGCAGCGACTCGAATGTCGCCCGCTCCTCAGGCATCACCCGCATGAAGAAATCCCACTCGGCCTGCAGAGACGTTGTGAGTGCTGTGTGGGCTGCCTGCGGGTACTTGGCCGCTGCGTCCGCTATCCGGTTGACACATCGCTGCCACTCCTGCACCCTCTCAGTGGCGTAGGCTCGCTTGCCCTTCGCGGTCCTTACAAATCCTCCCATATATCGAGCACCACTCACAATCTCCACGTCGGTATCGCCAAACACCTCCCGCGCCCGATCCTTGCAACCTGCCCGCACCACCAGCTTGCTCTTCTTGTCGTTGGAGTGATAGCCCCTCAGTGGCCCTCTCCGCTGCAGCTCATCCCATCAGTCGCGCACCGGCTGAAGGTCTCCCACCTTGGCGGAGTCGTCGGCAAACCACGCCTGAGAACCCTCCTCTGCTTGCCGCTTCATCTCCCACACGAGCGAAAGGGTGGCCACAGAGTAGAAGAGGGAAGCCAAGGGGTCGCCTTGTGTGGTCCCTTCTCGACTTCACAGCAGCGCGAGTTGGTCGCGCATGTAGAGGGCCGCATGGCCGCGATAGGTATTAAACAGGAAGCGTGAGCACCGCAGCCACAAAATGCGGACATTCCATATTGCGGCAGGGCGATTCATTGTATTGTAGGCGTTCATCGTATCCACCAGGATCGCACACTTTACGCCACTCGAGTCGAACTCGCCGGATACCGCATGAATGGCACCCTTCACGCCCCCCTTGAGCCCGGCGCATAGCTGGTCTGCACCACATACAATCTCCGCATCCACCCCGACCGCCTTGGCTATCGCCTTGCCCATGATGCGCATCAGGACCTCCTTGATCCCGATGGGCCGCACACTTGGTTGCTTGTCCAGACCGATAAGCCGACATGCATGCAGGGCCTGCAGCCGCTCCTAGGGCACGTCCTCGTTGGCGATGTGTGAGGCCATGGCCGCTAACTCACTGCGCAGCTCCGCACTTGTCGCGCCGCCCTTGAGAAGGAGAGTCTTTCACACAGATGACTCGGCACCAACAGGGCCGGCGCCTCCCCTTGTTGCCCGTGCCGCCCGCTCGATGTGGTTGGCGGTGATCTCGACCTGGGTGAGGGGAGGGAGGGGCCGGTCGAGGAAGCAGGACGGGTCAGGGTCACTCTGGTTGGAGTACTTCGACTCGAGGACCTCCCGAATGGTGCGGCCCGCAGGGTCGGCCTCAGCCAGATCGTTGGAGTTCAGCGCGCCTCGCCCTCCCCACTCGGTCAGGAACCGGACGGCCTGCTTGACCTTGCCCTTGTCGATCAGGCGACGGAATTGACGCAGCGTGGCCTCGTTGGCGTCGTCCTTGCCAACAGGCCTGGTGGCCAGAAGGGCGTTGTTCCGCTCAGCCTCCTGCACGAGCTGCTCGAAGTCGCCCTTCTCCCATTGGTCCATCCGCCGCTCCACCGTCTTGGCGATGTCCTTGCTGCCAGTGACATCTGGCGCCCGATAGAGATTCGTGCACGCGCAGATGAGGATGCGCTTACTCGCCAGCTGCTCCTCACGCCACCGACGAGCCTCGGTGGCGAGCAGTCGGGCCAGCCGCTTCGTCGAAGCACCCGGTGGATCCCAAAGGCACCCTCGCAACGGGCCGAGGCGGGCGTGCCAGCGCTGCCAGTCGGTGTTTATGAGGCCGCTCTGCTGATTGAAGTCGGTGGCTCCGAAGGCCTCGTGCATCTTCTCTCGGACGAATGAAGACGTCGGAGGGCCAGCAGGGGGAGCAAGGGGTATGCCGGGAGGCGGGCGGTGGGGAGTCTCGACCGCATTGCAGAGGCAAGCGTAGCAGATGCCCTTGCTCGAGGACGCCGGGCGGATGTGGCAGCTGGCATACTGGGGAGCGACATACGATGCGGATCCGCCTCGTAGCGAAGACTCATCCGAGTGGAAGCAACGAGGATGAATGGAGGGGGAGTTCGAATCCTCGGCGGTACAGTTATTGTCCTCGGGCTCTCGATTCTCGCATATGCCTAGGTCACAGGAATGGCAGTTGGTGCACTTCTTGCCCTTCTCCAAGCAAGGGCAGCCCCGCTCTTTCCCCTTCCTCTTGCATCTCGATCCAGTGGTCTTGTTCCGGTTCTTGTTGCATGAGCAACACCGCACAGGACCAGCGGCTGGCTGCAAGGGCGGGGCATCGTCTCCCGGCACTGCAGAGACGCCCTCTTGAGACGGCGGGGGCGGATGGGCTGAGTCTGTTGAGACTGGGGTCGATTCTGCACTCATTCTCCAGAGCTGCTCGAGCTGGATATGATGCTGGCAGGTGTGGCCCGAGCAGCCGTCATAGTAAGGAGAAAAAGGGCCTCAGGCCCTGCGAGCTCAGACAAGCAATCATTATTATGTATGAGATTGCAATGAATGAAAAGATACTTCAAAATTCAAAAAAGCAAAACGTAAATGTGGATTCACAGGTGTTTGTATCGAGTGTATAGAAAACAAATGTAAAAACTCAACTTAAACTGTAGTCTTGCATTTTTTCTTTGCCACCCCCGTCCCCCTTCTACATGCCTGTCCACACCCTCGTCCTTTTAAACTTTATCACATTAGGACTTTCACAGGGGTTTCCACTTCTTTTCACGCTTTTTACCCTATCCCTTTCATAATCTCCATACGCTGGGAGTTTGACTTCGCTTTCGAACGCGAAAGCGAAGTCAAACTCCCAGCGTATAGTCCTCCCTGTCCTCACCGGCCTTTTCGCACGATGCCCCTACTAATGTGAAGCCCAAACTGAAAAAAAGCAAAGATTCTCAAAGTCGCCACCAATCATGCGCACGCCAACGCGAATTGGAATTCTGGACGAATTTTCGTCTCTTTTTTTTCATACAAGTTTCCATATAAGAATGTTTTGGGAAGGGTTCAGAGTTCAAAAACGCATCGTCCGCGGTACGCCGAATTCAACCGTCAGAATGCTCTCGCATGTTGCCATTGATATTGTACTCTGGTAGCGTTTCCACTATGTGGAAAGGCCGGTAAGAGCCTTCCCGAATCAGTTGAATAGCTGAGGATCAACTGGGCGGTAAGTCGTAGAGTCAAGAGTGCTTTCACTTCACTGAGACGGACAGGTCACACATTAGTGATATACTGGTGTCTATCCATAGGATGCATCGTCAGGCTACATGGACACAGATCTGCTTCGGTGACGGGACGAGCCTCGGTGGCGAGCAGTCGGGCCAGCCGCTTCGTCGAAGCACCCGGTGGATCCCAAAGGCATCTCGCAACGGGCCGAGGCGGGCGTGCCAGCGCTGCCAGTCGGTGTTTATGAGGCCGCTCTGCTGATTGAAGTCGGTAGCTCCGAAGGCCTCGTGCATCTTCTCTCGGACGAATGAAGACGTCGGAGGGCCAGCAGGGGGAGCAAGGGGTATACCGGGAGGCGGGCGGTGGGGAGTCTCGACCGCATTGCAGAGGCAAGCGTAGCAGATGCCCTTGCTCGAGGACGCCGGGCGGATGTGGCAGCTGGCATACTGGGGAGCGACATACGATGCGGATCCGCCTCGTAGCGAAGACTCATCCGAGTGGAAGCAACGAGGATGAATGGAGGGGGAGTTCGAATCCTCGGCGGTACAGTTATTGTCCTCGGGCTCTCGATTCTCGCATATGCCTAGGTCACAGGAATGGCAGTTGGTGCACTTCTTGCCCTTCTCCAAGCAAGGGCAGCCCCGCTCTTTCCCCTTCCTCTTGCATCTCGATCCAGTGGTCTTGTTCCGGTTCTTGTTGCATGAGCAACACCGCACAGGACCAGCGGCTGGCTGCAAGGGCGGGGCATCGTCTCCCGGCACTGCAGAGACGCCCTCTTGAGACGGCGGGGGCGGATGGGCTGAGTCTGTTGAGACTGGGGTCGATTCTGCACTCATTCTCCAGAGCTGCTCGAGCTGGATATGATGCTGGCAGGTGTGGCCCGAGCAGCCGTCATAGTAAGGAGAAAAAGGGCCTCAGGCCCTGCGAGCTCAGACAAGCAATCATTATTATGTATGAGATTGCAATGAATGAAAAGATACTTCAAAATTCAAAAAAGCAAAACGGAAATGTGGATTCACAGGTGTTTGTATCGAGTGTATAGAAAACAAATGTAAAAACTCAACTTAAACTGTAGTCTTGCATTTTTTCTTTGCCACCCCCGTCCCCCTTCTACATGCCTGTCCACACCCTCGTCCTTTTAAACGTTTATCACATTAGGACTTTCACAGGGGTTTCCACTTCTTTTCACGCTTTTTACCCTATCCCTTTCATAATCTCCATACGCTGAGAGTTTGACTTCGCTTTCGAACGCGAAAGCGAAGTCAAACTCCCAGCGTATAGTCCTCCCTGTCCTCACCGGCCTTTTCGCACGATGCCCCTACTAATGTGAAGCCCAAACTGAAAAAAAGCGAAGATTCTCAAAGTCGCCACCAATCATGCGCACGCCAACGCGAATTGGAATTCTGGACGAATTTTCGTCTCTTTTTTTTCATACAAGTTTCCATATAAGAATTTTTCGGGAAGGGTTCAGAGTTCAAAAACGCATCGTCCGCGGTACGCCGAATTCAACCGTCAGAATGCTCTCGCATGTTGCCATTGATATTGTACTCTGATAGCGTTTCCACTATGTGGAAAGGCCGGTAAGAGCCTTCCCGAATCAGTTGAATAGCTGAGGATCAACTGGGCGGTAAGTCGTAGAGTCAAGAGTGCTTTCACTTCACTGAGACGGACAGGTCACACATTAGTGATATACTGGTGTCTATCCATAGGATGCATCGTCAGGCTACATGGACACAGATCTGCTTCGGTGATGGCTGGACAGATCGCTCTGCACTGCCAAACATCCATATACTCATGCATTTATGCATCTACATGACCCGTGGCCAACAAAGATCCACTCTCTAGCTCGCATTCCTCCCTAGTTCGCCTTGCTGGCTGGTTTTGACATCCACTGCTGCAGTATAGTTTATTTCGGAGCCATTTTTACGGACGATCACTTCGATCGACAACTTGAACAGGAGGGGTCCGCCAGAGGCAGAAGCTGAAGGACGAGCATTTGAAGCACTTGCGCCGGCTTGCCCGCATTCTGCAGAGTTGCCGACACGACTGGACTTGCCTTCGCCTCTCCGGCAAGCTTCTTGGTGGAACTAAGCTCGCCGCTATGGGAAGACTGCGGTCGTATCTGTTTTTTCTACTCATCGGCTCGGTGCTGGCCACTTCGGGAAACTTTCCAGCCGGTTTCCTTCGGATTCCATCGCGTCGTCCGGTGGCACGGAGGGCCGGCGAAAAGCTAAGGAGCTAAACATTGGAGAAATATATGATTGAGATACCCACTTTCTCCTCCGACGGCGTCACCTCTCCACAACCCCACGAGGAGGTCACAGGCCGAATCTGGCCTCCTACTTTACTGTTTAGATTCCCCGAGGATGAAGTCGAGGCTTACAAGACGAAGGATAGCTTCGACATTTCCTTTTCTAGCGGTGGAACGCGGTCAGCCGCAATGACGATGGGCCAGCTCCGCGTATTGAAGCGATTTGGCATTCTGCAACAGGCGAAATACATCTCCTGTGCCTCCGGAGGGTTGTGAGCGGCGGTGCTTTTCACGTACCTGGACAAGAACGCTTCACATGAGAGCTTCCTTGGAAAATGGGAGGAGCCGATGGATATCAAAGCCTGTGAGCTGAAGCGAGAGCCAGACAAGGGGAGTTTGGCGGGGGCGATTTCGAATTCAGGCTTCATCGAACGCTGGTTCAAGAACCCCCCCCAGGAGAGCGACGAGCGTTATTCTAGGACGGTCGAGCGTATCTTCCTGAAGCCCTTCGGACTTTTTGACCTAAAGAAGTTTTTCTCGCTAGACCAGGCTACCGTTAGGGAGATTCTCCAGTATAATACTAATACGAAGCTGCAAAAGAAAGATTTTTACACTGCCAAGGGCATCAAGGGCTATGACTATCGCCCGTACCTTCTGATCGGTGGGACTATCTTTATTCGACGCAAAGAAAAGGCAAAGTTGCTCAACTTCTTCTACCCGAAGCCAGCCCGCTACCACTTCGAGATGACACCACTATATATTGGCTCGGGCGCTTTCCATTTCAATGCTGGCCCTAAGGGCCGTCGACCTTGCTGAGAAGGGGTGGAACTACGAGAAGAATGTTGTTTTCAATGGGGGCGACGAGACGTTCGAAACATTCAAGAACAAGCTGATCGAAAAGCATGAGAAAAATGTTCCCCCCTTCAACGACGAAAAATAAGCCAAAAAAAGTATGGCTTGATGAGCCACAAGGAAGCAATAAAAAAGATACGACGATCCTGAACTCGAATCAGACAGGACGCGCCTGCACTTATTGACTTGGATCCAGTGTATGTAGATGTTAGCACGCAGACATTTATGATATAAACGCACTCCAAGTCGACACGTGCATGCGCAGGGGTGCGCACACAGACATTCGTCAGATACACACACTTCAAGTCGAGACGTGCATGCGCACATAGACATTCATCATGTACACACTCCAAGCTGCAAGTCCAAACGTGCATGCGCCAGTGTGCGCATACAGAAATTCAAACTTGCATGCGCAAGTGTGCGCATTCGACTTCATTTTCATCGGCGCAAAGGGTGAGAACATACCGAGGACATGAGCTCTTGAGACGAATTGAGACAACTCGCACGCAGGAAGGCGGAAACTTTGTCAATTCACGATCATCTTTCTATCGTGCTTAGTGGTTGGTGTGTTCAGGCCTGGCTATCGACCCTCAGGACAAGGGCAGCCTCACTTTAGCCCAGCACGGCACGACTCGGGTTTCAAAGCTCAAGCTCCAGCCGTTGATAGAGTTTGATGGCAGTGTGGTGCGCATCAAACTCTACGAAACCGTCGTCGACAACTTCCAAGACATGTGGAAGTTGTCGCCCTTTAGCAGCCCCGACACGTGTAAGTACGCCACGCCATTCCTCCCTGCACGCCACACACAGGCGGACGCAATTTGTGTGTGCGGTTGCCTCCCTTTCCAACTTTGTGCGTGCAGCTTTTGGTCGGCAGGCGTTTTTCGGCGAGCCGCGTATTGCGGGCGACCAACGGAATGACGATAAATGCAGTATGTCATGGCTTGTCACCCCTCATCCTTCGTGTGTCGTGTCGTGTGGCCCCAGGGACTCACGAGGCGAGGGTGATATTCAACAAGATCTACCGGCCCAACGGCATTGGCATCAGCAGTGATAACAAACTGATAACTGTGGGCGACAGCCTAAATAAGGAGTCCGACCTCACTGACTTACCGGCGACTTTCCCAAGTACGTCCATCTGTCTGTCTGTCACACTCACAGCCACACACACGCGCGGGCATCGTGACTGACCATGTATGTACGTATGTATGTGTGGTTGATGCAGGGTGGACCCGAACAACCCGCAGCTGTCTGACAACATTCTGCTCGTGTCTGAGAAGGAGTTTGCCGCCAAGGTGGACTTCATTAAGTCTGGCTTAATCGCCATCGACGTCTTCCCCCCCGGGTACGTTGGAGAAGACGTATTCCCCAAAGCCGACGATTGCCTGAAGCCGACGATGTTCATTCGGGTGATGCGGGCGCCCATATCCTCGCCGTGAACGCCGAAGTGGCGCCAATCTGGCCGACGCATCAAGCCGGGCATTTCCAGATGCCACTGATTCATGTCATATCCACCGGCGGGCAAATACCCGGACTACTCAGTGTTTTGTTGCGTTTTTGTGCGGTGCGCTGTGTGTGCAATGTTCTCTCGTGTCTGCTGTCTCTGTGTGTCTGTCTGGGTGGTAGTGGTGGGGATTGGGAGAAAAGGAGACTTTTTCTTTCGCCAGCTGTGCTGTGTCTGGCATCGTGCTTTCCCCATAGCCGTCTGCTGAGTGACATGCGTGCGCTGTTGCATGTCTACCTGTATGCTGCCATCTCTCGCAGCGCCTTTGCAGATCTTCCTGCCTGCTTCTGCCCTCTTGCATGTTGCATGTTCCATATTGCGTGTTGCGTGCTGGACAAACATGGGACCAGGCCGTTGGGCCACCTAGGGTTTTCGGTGAAACCGCTGCCGCTAAATATCATAAAATCGATCGAGACCAGACCTTCTCCCTCCATTCTAACGGCCCCTGCGCATGTGTAGCATGCGTGAGTTTCCGTTTGCGTGTGCATGACAGACAATGGGACTACGCCAGCGGCCACATAAGAGATCTCACTGCCTGCCCCATATATCTGCCTATATATGTCTGCCTATGTGTCTATATATATGTGTCTGGCTGGCTCTGTTTTGGATGCACACGTACCTGTCTCTCTCCCTGTAGGTGAAGTCCCTGCAGTAGTTGGAGCAGACCATGTGGCTTCAGCCCTCTGTCTTGGAAACCACCGCGCCGCAATGAGGACACACATTCATCCGGTGATGCTGAATAACTCGGTGTATGAATCACACACAACACACAAAGATACACACACACACACACACACACATCATGCAGCGATCTATCTCTTGGTATCGGAGGAATGCCCTTTCGCCCCGTGGGTTTTCGGCCGCAAGTTTCTGCTGAATTTGCTGACTGCATGCATGTAGGTAAGTGCACCTCGAACGCGATGGCCTGATTGTCTGTATGTCTGTGTGTCTGTATGTGTTGGACGGGCTTCATCTTCTCTGCGCTCGCTCGACGTAAGCCCCTTTGAGTACACACACCTCTCCCTTCATTCGTTATGTCGTTCGACGAGCCCGTAAGACCTGCCACACAAGGTGTCTCGCCTATGCCTTCGCGCATGGGCAGGGGCTCCCAGCCCCCGATGAGCCTTCGGGGGTTTAGAGCGGGAAGTCACCGACGACTATTGATTCGATCCAGCTTGCAATGAATGCGAAGTCAGTTTGTGAGATGGTGCAGTGTGTTGAATGATGTATCTCACTTTTCGTGTCATCTATAGCTGCAGACCTCTGTAACCTCATGGCCAATGCGATGCAGCCGTCAAATGATGAAGCGGCATGAAGAGTGTGTGAAACTTGTTGTGCCTCAGAATAAATCAATGGTAACGAATTCATTGTCAAAGACACAATTTATCAAACAGAATAAGCCCGAGCGCGCCACGTCGAAAGCATTATCGCCCACACTCACATACAAGGTCTGTCTGACACCGTAGGTGACATGACACAGTACAGAGGCGAGGCGCTGATTTCAGAGTGAAGAGGGCAGAAGGATGAGAGAAGAAAGGCGAAGCGACCCTTTTCCCAAAAAGGCATTTCACGATTTGGACGCTTTCAGGCTCTCCATCTGACAGGCTTCTTAATCACCCCCATCAACGGTACACCGGGTGATTTGCATGCGGTCAAAGTGTGTATGTACCTTCCTCCAAGAAGACGATCACGGATGAGAAATAGAGGGTGTAGTCCTTCAAAAAGACGGTCACGGATGACCAACAGAGGGGGCAGTAAAGTTCAAAAGTAAGAATCCCAATCACGCTCGTACGCGGCATGGAAACGACAGTGGATGCAGAATTGGAGGCCGGTGGAAGAGAGAAACAGCAAAGCACTCTCTTGCTATGCTATTAGCGCAACCGTACTCTCAGGAGCAGCACCCTTGTGAGTCGCAATCGACTTCAGACCGCCAGAATATCTAGAAGCACTCAGTGATGCATATGCTCGACCATATGATGTCGAGAGCAAAAGAAAAGCGAACACGTCTGGATGACGAAGAGAAAGCCGCAAAGAAAAGACAGTTCTCGTCATTCGTATCTTTCATACAGTTCTTATACTCCTTATCGCGTAGAAGACCAATCATGCCTACACGCCGAGTGTCTACATACGTACAAGTCGGAACGACGAAGGCACATGCAGTGAGACGAAAAAGGAACTTTCTGTATGAACCAAGAAATCATGAAAACAACGTAGCCCCATACCACCATGCGCACTATGCGATAGAATGAGGGAGGTCTCAAATTGACAGTAAGAAAGTACATAAGAAAGCGGCACTGCAAAAAGGGGCGACTATGAAGCCTCCTTGCCAGACCTGCCTCCCTCTTGTGGAGATGTTGAAAGAGCACGATTTGTCCTGCACTTCCGGTTCGGACGCCTGAAGGACAACAGCAAGTAGCAACCGTCGGGAACGACTGGGCACTATGTCGGCAGACCACTGCTCTGTGTTCGTTTACCTATTGTGCTGCAGTATCAGACTGCTCAATGCCGGTCACAGCACCAGCAAGTTCACGGGGGACTTCTGCATCACCCTTGTAAGCCACTGCTCCTTTAGGCATGTCCTCTGGGGTCCGCAAGAGTTCACGACGCGTAGGGCGGCAGCAGGCACCCGATGGTAGGCAGTAAGGAGGAGAACATCCGGAACCAGGGCAAGGGACACACTGTTGCACCGACGGCTGAAGGACGGCCAAAAGAATGACGAGAGCCAAGACGAGCTTCATCATGCTTGCGGGGTGGATGAAGAGGCAATTCAAAGCTGGCAATAGACACGAAGGAGTTCGTCGATCCGCAGGGAGAAGAAAGTTCTCGCCCTCCCGTTTTTCCTTCGCAGATCAGCCTTTTGAACGCTGAGATCTCTGGGTTCGGCCGCTGAACGGACCTCTCTTGTACCTCATCTCTAAGGGCAAGGACGTGCCGCTGACAGTTCGAGGTTCCCGGCTGCTCTCCTTCCGGACGATAGATCTGACTTCTCCCGCCCATCCGAGCGGTCCTGCCCTGCTCCAGGACCCGAGCGGGATGGCGACAAGAGTGCCGCCCGCCTATCCGCCACCAGGAGATCCTCCCGACTCGGCCATGCAGCCATTCTCGCAACCGGAGGACTCCCAGTCAGCCCCTCGCGCTCGTCACCTCGTGCTCGTCACTCGTCACCAGTCCTTCCTTTCTGCCTGGACCTCCCACGGCGTGGATGACTCCCGCGCGCAGACCTTCCACGTGGCGTTCATGATGATTCGGTGGTCGGGAGGAGTGGAAGCGGCGCGCACGGCGCTCGACAACCTCACCCGGCAGGCATTCGGCGACCCCGCCATGCGGGAGGCGGTGAAGGCGGCCTCCTCGCCGCTACTGATTGGCATCGCCGAGTCGCTCGAGTACTCATCCGACCCCGGGTCGTCGCCGAAGCGAAAACGGCGGTGCCAACGGGGCAAGAAGGGTCGCCCGATCTGGTCGGGGGGCGGCTTCGATGCGTCCTAGGGCTTTCCAGGGCGCCGGCCGCCCAATCAGCGGCGGCGGTGCCCTCCTACCCCGCCGCCACCGCCATCGCCACACCCTCAGCAGGGGAGTCATCGGACGAGTCCCTCGACGAGTCGCCGGTGGAGGCCGCCCCTCTGGAACGCCTGCCCACCCCCAGTGCCCTCTTCCGCGACCAATGGAGACAGCGGAAACGCCTCCGGAAGTGCTTCGGCTCTCCTTCCCCCCCACCGGACCTCCGCCGGCCGCTCACTCGCAGCTCGAACGGCTCCCGCACTGCCCTCTCCCGCCGCGCATGCGGTCCTCCCGGGAGTCCTCACCCGCGCCCATCCCGTCGCCTCCAGTCTCGTCCTCCGAGCACACCTGCGCAAACTACAGCCCAACTCGACAGCGGCCGGCGTGCGGAGCCGGCTGCGGCAGGGGGCTCGTTCATCGGCCACGGCCCTGCTGCGGCAGCCGCTGGACCGGCCAACGCGGCTAGTGCCGGATCTGGGCACGCAGGGATCCGATGGCAACGATAGGGATGCGGACATGGACGGATGGGGGGACGGGGAAGAGGATGAGGACGAAAACGGCAGCCGGTACCCCCTGCCTGTGGCCGCCCTCCAGCAGCTCGCGACTTGAGACATCAGCCATTCATGCAAGGGCAGATCCCCACGATCAACAAATGGGTCGCCCGTCGGGAGTTCGCTATTCGCGCCGCCCGCGCCAACGCTGTAAGATGGTGAGAGGCAATGTAATCTTCCGGCACACGGAGGTGCTGGACGTCCTGTGCGACATCTCTGCTCAAGCATTCGGTGCCTCGGCAGTGAGGAAGGAGGTCGTGCTTATGGAGGGAGACGGGGAATGGCAAAGGGGCTGAAGGTGGACATGGTAGTGAGGGGTGTGTGGGAGTGGTAGAAGGATGCGTCGTTTGACCTTTGCGTGATCAACGCTGACGCGTCTTCCTACCGTCTCACCTCAATGACCTCCGTCATCCACAAGAACGCGCGAGACAAGAAGACAAAGCACCCGCGTGTCTGCGAGGATCGGTCCATCCAGTTCACCCTTCCTGTCGTCACCGTGGATGGAGTGTGGGAGAGAAAAGGCAGAGCACTTTTTCGATCGTGTGGTTGATACATTGCATTCCGAGTCTGGCTGGCATGAGAAGTCGCATGGGCAAGTGTTGGGATGAGTGCGTGCTCGTGTGTCTGTTGCGCTGGCGCGTGGTGTGAGTGTTTGTATGGGTGGGGCATGTTTGTTGCTGATTAGTTGTTGACTGGTTGGTCTATGCAAGCTTTTCGATGGACTGATGGACAATTCGTGCCATCGCACTATGCGTTGATACCTGTCTCTCATGACTCGCACACAAAGGGAACGGAATGAAAGCTAGCTTGCTGGATTGTATTGGCATAGTGGTATTGCTTGGCTTCCCGCTTTTTCATGGTCGCTCCGACTTTCTGGTTGGCTGTATTGATGGTCATGATGGATTGGCGCTCATTTTCGCCATGCCATGCATTTTCTACTTGTGTTCGCACTATCTGATTATCATCAGACTCTAGTCAATGGCCACCGATCCTTTCAGGGAAACCCCTCCCCCTTTTTTCCCCATTTTTTATGTCTGTTCGGCACAAAGACATGACGCGTGCCTTGTCACTCTTTCTAATCAGCGCTTGTTTTAATCTCCACCCAGCGATAAATCCTGAGTAACTAACAAACTGTGACTGACGATGATGTAAGATCAATCAATGTTTTCTACAAAGTATGTGAGCATTGCGAAGTGAGTGAGACGTTATGCTGTTTCTCAATCAACTCAACAATTGACATTTGTCAACTGCTAGGGTATACAAGCATACTTCTTTCAGTCATACACCATGCCTGCAATTCAATCTTTGTCTCCATCTTCCTTATCCTCATCTCCCTCCTCCTCAAGTCCTCATCTGTATAGTCAGATTGTACATACAAGGTATGCATATCTATGTTTCCCTCCCTCCCTACCCTTCATGTTCAGAACATATACTATGTACCATCATCATCGTCGTCATCATTGTCAGCATATCCGTCTAAGCCACCAGACTGACCATCCTCATCTTCATACTGCAGAGAGACAGACGGACGAGAACAGGTACAGAAAGAATTTCACTGAGAAAATACAAACAACTCCAATCTTTCTCAGCGCCATCCCTTTTTCTGGCCTGCTCGTTTGATAACTCCAATACCATCCTCATAACGGACTCATTCTCGAAGTACCATCTATGACAATTGCCTCTCACTTGGTCCCAGAGAAGGAAGCGATGGGTTCCATGACCACGCAAATCGACCGGAACGCATCGTCGTACCCCATAAGTTCGATATTTCCCTATTCCCTCGGTCTTCCAGCACCCGTAGTCGAGCTAAGCGCTTGTACTGACATAGCCACGCCCGTACTGTGCGCAACGATGGTAATGTGAGTGTACAGAGGATCCTTCTTATTCACCACGGCCAGGATCGCATTCTTCACACGGTCACAGATCATCGACCGCACTCGTGCGTCTTTAGTGGTCACAGCCTTGCTGAGAGGGGCATTGATCAGATACTTTCGGCCGAAATCAGTGACGTTGACGATAAAAAACAGTGGGGAGATCAAGAACATTATAATGGACGCCATCCATAGCGCCCAGCTGACGCAATAAAACCAGCTCAAATTGTTGGACAGCGGATTTTCACCACTGGGTGAGGCAGCGGCGATGAGAGTACACGGCTAAAAACAGTGTGCCGACGAACCACAGGAACAGGACGAAGGCCGTGAGAAGAAACCCACATGCAAGTTTTCCCTTGTAGCAGCTGGCCCACATTGAGGAGCAGCACCAGAAGAAAATCAAGCATATGCCGCGCCACACCTGAATGGCCAAGTTCTCGTCGCCCATTTTATCGATAAAGTCGCCCCAGAAGGCCTCATATATATCGACACGGCAGCTGTTCTTCTTGATGAACACACTGGTGCGGCTTGGGTGAGTTGGATGGTCGGTAAGGTTGGCGAGCCCCGTTTTCCTCATGCCTCTGACCAGCAACTTAAGCTTCTCATCCTTCACTATGTCGTCATAGCCGGGCACCAGGATGATCGCCCTCTGTTCCAGCACACGAGAAAGAGGAGTGAGATGCCTTGTGTCAGATATGTATTGTGTGCTTACATCTGGGTTGGGGGGGCGCTAGCCCTCTCCGTATCGGCATGCAAGACCTCCATTATGTGCGCCCTGCTGAAGCACACATCCGTACAGCATCCCTATCACCTCCCGAACCGACACTTCGCACGGCATGCCTATCAAGCATGAGCGTAAAACTGCATCAAGGTATACTCACAGGTTGCATATTAGCAGCCGTCTGTATAACCACCTCCGTCGGTACATGACCATGGGGCTGCTCAATATCATGAGGGGCTGCTTCTCGAGCTGCCATTCCGTTGGCCCGCGGTTGATGCTTCATGAGTGCTTTCTCGTGCGGAAAGACTGCACACACCGAGACACACACAGATGTTATACATACACACGTAGAGCTGTATTGGTCAGCACTTGTACCTGCGTGTGTGAGCCAGTGCCAAAATACGAAGGGCTGAAAACCAACTAGAACGCACCTATATGCGCGTCACATGTACGTGATTCATATGGCGCCCAGCCATAGAAGCACTCATCATATATGTGTGTGTGTCTGTCGCTCTCAGTACTGTCAGGAATGCCAGCTTGGCAAGACGAACCACTATGAGCTTGTGAGCTAGGGTAGATTACTGTGTAACGGAGAGAGAGAGAAGAAGACAAGGAAAGACAGACAAGGACATATACTGATGAGACACGATCTTATCAGCCATCACCGAAGTCAGATCTGTGTTGACCACCCTTCATGATGCCATACATGGACAGAAACAACTTTGACTGACTGGCCAGTCCATCGGTCTTACTAAAGTAAAAGCACACTCTTCACTGGGACTTACCGCCCAGCAGATCCTCTATTCAGTTAAGTACAGGAAAGGTCCTCACCGGCCTTTTCTCACTTGGGCGCAGCAACTTGGTTCTTGCTTATCTGAGCCGAAGCCCTCGCCAGCCGACTGACAGATTCTAACAGGTCTATCAGTGTCTTGCGCAGTATCATCAGCAGCCAACTACAGTATCAGCAGTAGTCAACTACTAGCAGTACCTGAAGAAAGACAACAACTACATCAACAAAGCAGACAGCATGGATGACACTCAACCTAGAGACAAAAGCCACCTTCCCCGTCTTTACCGGCAGGAGTGGCGAGAACAACATCAAGTGGCGCGAATGAGACTTTACTCTTAGAGCCTACTTAGCAGCAAGAGAGATGAATGCGAAAATATATTTACCTACTAAGGATGAGGATGTCCCGCCGATGAAAATAGCGGTGCCACAAATGGACGGCAACAATCAGCCCGTGGTGAACCAGCAGGGACAGCCAATCCTGATTGAGCAGGACAGCTCCAACCCCAAGAACCTCCGATGGCTGTTCGGCTTCCTCGCCCTGCAAACAGCAGACAGGGCTAAGCGACTGATTCAAGAAGCATGCCAGAAGCACGGCGAGAATGATGCATGGGCGTATCTCGAGCTGCGAAAGCGGTTCATACCTGATCGTATGCAGGTATACATAGGGCTCCTGAGGGTGACGAAGGAACCTTTTGTTGAGTAGTTAGTTGTAGAGAGTGACATTTCATACGCGCGGGGCTTCCTTGAGGCCATACAATGCCTTCCGTAGACGAACAACATGGCCGGGCTTCTCATATCCAGGTGGGCACCGCATAAAGACAGGCTTGTCCAGCGGGGCGTTGAGGAATGCTGTGTTGATGTCCATCTGATGGATCTCTAGGTTAAATTGATTCGCCAGGGCAAACGCTGATCGAACAATGTGGTAGGAAAGCATGGAAGAAAACACGTCATCCACTTGGTTGCCATCTTGTTCGAATCCTTGCGCGACAATGCGGGCCTTGTACTTGTCAGGCTTGAGGGCAAATACCCATCTGCATAAGATGATTTTGGTCGTTGCGGCTTTCTCCGGCACGTACTCAAACACTCTCAGGTCTTCAATCGACTTCATCTCACGATCCATGGCTTCTTTCCATTAGTCTGCTGCTGTTGACTTCATCGCTTGGGTATAGGTTTTAAGTATGGTTGGCTGGAATAGCTGTAGGAGTGATGGGTCTTCTGTCATCTCGTCATCTTCATTCACAAAGAGCAGGTCAGGATGATCGAAGAAGTGGTCTTCATAGATGCGTCCAAAGATGCGTCGCTCATCTTTTGTTCTTGTCGTTCTTGTTTGTTGCTTATCAGTGTCTTCCTCTTTTTCTTGACCATTGCCTTCCTCAATGACCTTCATGTCATTATGGGCGTCATTTGTCTCCTGATAATGATGTGGTTCGTTGTTGTCATCGTGTATGTCCTCGATTGCTGGTAAGGGCTCACTCACAGACGCCTCGGGCCGTTGTGAATAGATAAGATCGATTGCTGGTGGTGCTCGTGGCTTCTTCTCTTGTCCAGGCAGTATCGCCTCATCAAACAGCACATCGCGTGACAGCACCAATTGCCGTGTGTGCGGCAGGTACACGAGATAGCCGTCCTTGGTCGCTGGGTCATACCCAAGTAAGATGCCGATCTGCGTGCGAGAGTTTATCTTGCCAATCGTCTCTTTCCTCTGGTTGATGTGTGCCTTGCAGCCGAAGGTGCGAATGTGGCCGACATCGGGTGGATAGCCGATGAAGAGCTCATGTGGTGTCTTCATTCCCTCGTTGGCTGCGGTTGGCGTGCGGTTCTTGATGTACGTCGCTGTGGCCGTCGCATAACACCAATAAGATGCGGGTAAGCCGGCAGTGAACAACAGTGCACGCGCCATAGCACAAATCACACCAATGGCTCGCCCAGCCACTCCATTCTGGGACTGATGATATGGCAAACTCCTCTCTTGTCTTATCTGGTTTGTCTCGCAGAACTCTTTCCACTGGCCCTTGATGAGCTTCGCCCCTCCATCTGTCCTCACTGCCTTAGGCATGCGGACTGCAGTGCAGTACTGGATGAATGCAGGAGGGGCATTCCGATTTCTTCTTGAGGAAGTAAGTCTGCAGCCACCTTGATGCATCGTCGACCACCACCATCAGGTACTTGTATCCTCTCTCGCTTGGCTGTTTGATCTGTGACAGGTCGACGTGGATGAGATCACTAGGGTATTGGTGTCAATACGCACCTCCTGCATACGGCAGTTGCTTCATTTTGGCCTTCGGACACACTTCACACTTGGTCTTCTCGTCGTCACTGTTGTTCTTCTTTGCTGTTGGTGCGTGTTTTGTCACTTCAGGTAGTTTCTTGATGTATCCATCATTGACGTGGGCAAATCGCTGATGCAGTCGCTCTTGTGTGAGGACTTCTGCGACTAACACGTCTGTTGTCATCACATTCGTCGGTTCTTCATTCTTATCGTCCACCGATGATGTGTGCGGCTGCTCCATGACGTCAGCCACTCGCTCATCGGTCGCATTCGAGCAGTCGGACGGGTCCTTGTCGATGTTGAGGTACCAGAATCGCCCTTCACGCATCAATGGGTACATATCTCCTCTCTTTAGGGGGGGGGAAACTGTCATTAACCGTAACACTCGTCTGTGTGTCCGTGATACTCATACAAATACAGTCCCATCAGCACGCAGACTCAAACAGGCTCAAGGGGAGGAGGGATCAATCCCCGCCCCATCAGCACACCCCAGTCCCGCAAAGCCTCCCCTCCCTCCCC